TTGAAGTCATCATCACTGTGAAAAGTTCGACAGCTCAATGACCTCGCCGGCATGGTCGCGTACATGATGCGCGAGCTGCATGCCATAAGTCAGGCTGTAAACCTGTGGCGACGGGATGGACGCAGGAGTGCAGTCTTGTCCACCGTAGACAGTGTAGTTCTGCCTCACTCTCCGATCTTGATGAAGCAAGCGCCGAAGTAAAGCACAGCGCCTTGCATTTCTCATCCTGGTGTTGGTCTTCATCAAAAGATGCCCGTGCGTCGAGGATGATGGCTTGATCTTCTTGATCGGATGGGTTGGTTGGGGCGATTGGCAAGCATGACTCCGACGGCGCCAGGACCAGAGTGGTCTGATGTCATTTGGAGAGCTGACTTGTTAATGTAAAAGAGATGATGCTAAGATCGAAGGGAAAGCGGGGTTGAATGCGAGATGAGCATCAGGGTATCGTGGATTGCACTGCTGCCGAATTTCTGGCGGGCGTTGGAGTAGATGAATGAGGTACTCTTGAAGTGGCCTCTATGTTCAGTAGCAAGCGCCCAAGACCGCAACCAACAACAGCTGAAACATCATCTACCTCTCAAGGCTCGCATCTTTGACCCCACGCTGCGTCGCGACTTAACGATAAATCAGTGAGCGCTGCTTGCTGAAATTCCGACTTTTGCTGTGCTCAAAAATATGCCGGACGGACCGAAATATGCCGGACGGAGCAAATGGATAATGGAGTGAAGGAACCGCACAATGTCTCACCTCCCGTGCGGATTCAGCAGCTACTCATTCGGTTGGGATGATGAAATTGGTTCGATATTGCTGCAGTGCACAGCGACTCCGCCATTGCCAGGGCGCGAATGAGGCTCGGTCGCTGGGTCCCTCTCTGCGCAATGCTGCCAATGCATAGTGGTGCGATGTTGGACGGGAGAGAGTATGCAGCGCCCACCCCAAGGCAATCAATCAAGTTTGAGCCTCAAACTTGACTTGATTGACTAGCGATGGCTTCATAATTGATTGATTGATTGATTGAACTTGACAAGTTTACTTGCTTTACGGGGAGCGCTGAGAGTATGGGCCTTTGGGGGCGGGGGGCGCCCGACCAGGGGTGGTCTACACTGGGCGGAAATGATCCTAGGGATTTGGCACCAATTTTATGTGTGGGAAGCCACAATCTTTCTTCCCTTCTAAGTTTTCTTCTTCGCAGTTTGCCGCCTGGAGGTGCACCTTGTTGATTGCCGTATGACTCTCACGGGGAAATATTCGAGGGCCAGGATGGCTCACAGAGAAACCTCTATGGCCATCTATGGGGTTGCCACAAGTCATGAGAAACAGATACATATCTTTACTTACATGTCGCTGTTCGTCAGAGGTAGGCATCGTTATCGCGGGGGTCGACATGCGACCCGGGCGAACGAGACGGGGAATCTCGTTCCCTGGCTGCTGTGAGGTTCAGTGGATGACTAAGAAACCTTTTGGTGTCACAATGTTGTGGTCCGTGCTACCTCATCCAGATGGCGGGCCTGGTGCTGATTCTGCCTCCATTGATGCAATGGTCAAAAGAGAGGATGAAAGTAGGCGCTTTTGTCAGTATCACCAATCGACTTTTTCTGTGGCTTTCAAACACGCACAAGTGGATGTGGCTGGGCTAACGAGGTAGAAAGGACAAAAAGAGACGATGAATGGAGGTGGAGTTGCAGCATGGAAAATTACGCGTGATGAAGAAAACGGCTGATTATGTCATCGCGTCACGCTTAACACGCGCTCTCACGTGCCTGCAGTGCCACTGACGCACGGCCCGCCTCAGCTGGCACCACACTGAGCGCCATCCCCACTTTGGTTTTGTTACCCAGTTTTTTAGTGTTCTAGAAAGAGATTTTTTTTTTTTTTTACTAATAAGCTTTAAGGTATCAACAGATATACTACTATTTAGCTTTATTTCTTAAAGTTATAGAGAACTTTAAAAATAAGGATTAGTATAGCTATAAAACTAGCTAAACTAGTAGGGATTATAATACTATATTAACTTTTCTATAATATCTTTATTAATCTCTTTTAAAATAGTTTAACTTAACTTTACTAATATTTATAATATAGAGATAGCTATAACTAACTATTTAAATAATCCTAATTTCTAATAATATTCTTATTTTTATATAAATCTTATTAAAAATATTAGGTTTAAAAGAATAAATAAACTAATTTTAATAGATAGTAAAATAAATTATTATTAAAGAATTTAACTTAGCTTATTAAGCTATATATAGTTTCTAAGAAATTTAATAATAAACTAGTTATATATTACTTATATATAAGAAGTTTTTAAATATATATTAATAATAATTAATAATAGTACTTTATATTAATTTTTAGAGATTATATTATTAGAGATATTAATAATATTAGTATAATAGATAGCTCTATTAGCTAAAATATAGTAGTATTAAGCGTAAGAGGATTTATAGTAATATAGCTACTATAAGTACCCTATTAATTAGTCCTAAAAAGTCTCTTTTTTGAACCACGTAGCTTACATAACGCAGTTACCTAGGGCCGAGGCCCGCAGGCAGAGCGCCATCCCCACAATAATCCGACACTCGACCGAGATCGATTTGATTGAGGCTCGTCTTGCTCGGCGGTGCAGGACTGGCCATCAGCCGCAGTTTACAGGCATTATTGGCTTGATTTGAGAAAAATAGAAGACGTCTCGGTTAAGAAGCAACGCCATCAGCAAATTCATGGGTTCGGAACCTGTCGGCTCTGGCTTGCACAGAGGCACCCTCATGTACAACGCTCCCTGGGTTGAAGTCGCTTACAGAATCGAGCACTTGATGGCTTCTTCAAACCTGGTTCTTCCATGCTCAGAGTTATCTGTCTAATGCCAAAGCAGTCAAATCTTCCAAAAAAAATACTAGCTAGTGGCTACTATCTTTTGCTGTTGGACGAGAACACACAGTCCGACGGACTACTCAGAAATCTGCCCCTCCCGCTGCATTCCTAATCTCTCGTCTGATCGACAGAACATGCCCAATTCCAATCCATGTTCCTCCTTCGTACACATCTATTATGGAGGTAAGCAACTCAAAAAAGATTTTTCCATATCTGGTATGTTTCGTTACCACTCACAGCCTTCCGGGGCTTTCACACTCTCGCGAGATGCTGCAACGAAATCTGCTCTTTAGGCACTGACTCAGGCTTTCGGTCAAACGCAAACCTTTTGGCGTTCGGGTCGTACACAGCCAAGCTCCTCAAGACGGCATCGTTTCCACGAGCAATCATCTCGTCCTGATACTGAGACAAGACCTTCTTAATAAGGTCCTCGTTCCCGACTTGATCGCCAATCTCTCCGAGGCGTTTCGCAAGGAGGAGCGCATCGATAATGGCCTGGACTCCACCTTGGCCCCCGACTTCAAGAATGGATTAGTTCAGGCGCAATACTTGGCCAGCTGGGCACTTACATGGGGGCATACAGTGCGCCGCATCGCCGAGCAAGGTCACTCGGCCTTCGCGCAGCTCAGGGCACGTGAAGGTTCGGAGTGGAAAGGGGTTGCCCAGCATTCTATCGACAGCTGTGCGCTTGATGACGTCGCGGAACTCCGGTCGCATATTGCGGGTGAGGCTTTTGGCAAATGCTTGCAAGTCCTCCTGGGATGCGGACTTGGTCCAAAAGGACTCAGACTCGGCGTTCTCGTCTCTCCACGTCAGAGCCCAGTAGAAGTCACCCCCGTCACCAGACGGGTGGACCTTCTTCAGGGCAGTGAAGAGTGTGATAAACTTGGGCGCAGCGTCTTCTGACTCTTCCGGGAGAAAGACGGTATGGGTGGAGTGGCCCTGTTCCAGTTGTATCTCCATGTCCCGACCGCTCAGGGTGAGCTCACCCCCGATCACTCCAAGTGGAAGATGCTTCGGAAGTTCCCCGCTGTACAGGTACTTTCTCACTATTGGTGCGTCAGAAACAATCCAGATGCTCTGATTGCGGGTCCGGGGATTCATACCAGCGCTATGCACGCCATCCGCACCAACCACGATGTCACCGGTGGTAGAGCTACCGTCGTGGAACTGTACAACGACCCCATCGGAGGTTTCTTTAATGGACGAAAGCCTCTTGTTGAAGTTCACTGTGACATTGGTGCTCAGCCACTGCCGGAGTCTTTCGCGGTTGCATCTTAGAAAGTCATTGGGGCCCTTGGATGTTGCCCCAAAGCGAACATCGGGGTCGTTGCTCGGATATATCACCGACTGGGCTGGCAGGTCGAACGGGACAAGATGACTAGTCGTTTCCAATGGCGCCATGTCGTCTGGGACCGAGGCCCGCAACTCTTCCAACATCCTATTGGAACCTGGTTAGAACTACATTGAACGCTTTCGAATCCTTGGAAAGTGTGTGAGTGTGATGTGCTACTCACGAATGTAGCGAGATACACCAGCCAGACGTCCTCGCCTCCAGATCTTTTTCGAAAATTTCAAAGTTAATTTTACGCTTTCGCAATAGCTGCGCCAGCGCCAAGCCGCCAATCCCGGCTCCAACGATGAGCACATGAGGTTTCTGGCCTGTAATCATATTTGCAACGAGTTTTGGAAGATTGTCAAGGAATACTGGATGTATGCTGAGTATGAGGATGGTGAGATTCAGCAGGTCTGAACGGAAACGTGGCTGTACATATATTGCCTTCTTCATCTTGCCTGAACAATTTCGGGCATCTACCTCGGATCGTCAGATTGACTGAGAATTGTTCGGCTGCAAGTAGCAGCTGTCGGAACGTTTTTCCGACATCGCAATCTGAGGGAAAAGCCGAGTGGGGTACCCCGGCTAGCTCAGCGGCACGGACGCGGGTACCTAGTTCAGGTGGGTCTCGGCGCCGCACGCGGCGCCGAGGACCGGGGTCGCCCTCAAGAAAGCCCGAGAGTTCTACTCAGAATTGGAACTACCACTCATGCGACCGAACCAGGAACTAGTCATCAATCAACCGCATCTCGCACAAATCCCACGTCGAAAGAGGATGGAAGCAAAAGAAATGGCCACTGTAGCCAACGCAGGCTCTGCCTCGGGGTCCGAAGCCGACGCGCCGGGGATCCGCGACCGATCCTGCAATGTCTGTCACCAGCGCAAGATACGATGCAACAGAAAACAACCATGCGCTGCATGCAGTCGTCGCGGAGCTCCCTGTGTTTACCCGTCTTCGGTGAAGCCACCCCGGCGGGCTAAGGCGACGACCGCGGCCGACATTGTGCGCCGCATCTCCGGGCTCGAAACCACCCTCGTCACGGCGGCCGGGGGTCGCATCCAGCCCAACAGCCCGGTCACACCCCAGGGTGGCCTCGGGGAGGACGTCTTAGTTCGACATGATTCATCAAGCCGCTATTTTGATGAAGCGATCCTTTCCAAGATCATCAAACTGGTACACGCCCCGCACGTCTTCGCTGAAGCACAGGCATCAGGCTTGGTTCTGACACCGCCGCAGGAACACGATGTCCGCTCGTATTTGTCAATCTCCGAAGCAGAGACCGCTACTGTCGCGGCTCCATCACCATTCGTGCCCATAGGGATCATCTCTGAGCCTTTCCCCTTCCACTTGATGTCGTCATTGCATCCCGAAAAGTCAGCAGCTATCCTGCTATGGACGAATTACGTCAACAACATCGAGCCTTATGTGAAGATTCTCCACGTTCCGACCGATGAGGCGACTGTATACAGTACGATAGCGGAGCCCCATCGCGCAAAACCTGAAAATCTGGCGCTATGTTTCGCCATTTACTTCGTCTCGGTAGCTGTCCCCGATGGTGCTGACCTCCGCGGTCGAGAGGAAAGAACACTCAATCTTCATCGATTCAAAAAGGGATTGGAGCAAGCCCTGGCGCATGCCAACTTCCTCGAGCGTCCCACGATCACCTTGCTCAAAGCGCTTGGGATATATCTTGTGGGTATCCTGCGCCCGATCCCCGCGTCTCCTGGTGCATTTTCGCTGTCCTAGCCCATGAATCCATCTAATGAGTTATTTTAGGTGGGCCTGCGACTTTACAATCATGGAAGATGCGTCTGGACCCTGTATGGCTTCGCGATACGAGCTGCCCAGTCTATTGGTCTCCACCGCGATGGCCAGAATCTAGGTCTGTCGCCTTTTGAAACTGAGATACGACGAAGGCTCTGGTGGTACTTCATCGTTCGGGACGGCAAAACAGCCGAGGACTACGGCCTGCAGAGCACATCTAGCCTTAACCTCGTCGCCGAGGCCGAGCCGCCTCGCAATCTCGACGACGGCGATATCTACAGGGATATGGAAGAACTGCCACCCGCACGGGAGGCGTGGACTCCAATGATTATCCAGCTGATTGGCATTGAATTCTCCCGCACATGGCATCGGCTGATGCAGATCGCACCTTCGACGTCATTGGAAGTGCCGAAAGAGGAGCTGAGGCTACAGATCATCAACGACATGAGGTGCCGCGTGGGACAACTGCTTCGGGCATGCAGCCCCGTTGTCCCGGCACAGCGTCTCACAATGCACACTTCGGGCTTCGTCATCCGGAAAATCGACTTCATTTCGCGTCAGCAATGGGTTGCCCTTCAGCATCCAAACCCGTGGCTGAGCGGGTCTTTTACCACCAACCAGGACCTTCTTGAAGCCGTCGAGATCCTCGAGATGGGCATGTGGTTTGGCAAGGACGAGCTTCTACGACCGTTCCGCTGGTTGACGCTCGCCTACCCCCAGTACCACCTCACGCTCTATGTTCTCAGCCATCTATGCGCACGGCCTGACGGACCACACGTCGACAGGGCGTGGATCGTGGTTGAGGAGATGATGCGGCAGGTGAGACATCGTCAGACAGAGGACGGTCTCCTACCCACGTCGAATTGGAACGTCCTACTTGTGCTCTACTCGAAGGCGCTGAGTCGGAAGGAGAACAAGGCCGGGAACGTCGCGAGTAATGGTAGGACTCCCCAGCAGCTGTCTTTCTCGAGACTCGAAGAATCCGCGGGTGGCCAGGATAATGAGGGGATCTTGCTTGGTTTCAACAATCATGAGACAGATTGGAATGAATGGGCACAGTTTGTAGACTGGGATACCATGATACAGGAGTTTCAAAATGACGGTCTAGGGATGGCAAACTTTCTTTGAGAGTATTGCGCTGCGACTAACCAGCTATGCTTAGCCTTGCCACCATTTTGTCTGAGGCAATTTACAGACTGAAATAGCTGCAAGTTCTGAATTCAAGATCTTGGGGAATCAAGTATCTATTGAGCCTGTCGTGAGAGTCATGCGGCGGCCTGCAAATATTCAGTTACCTAACCATACCAGGCCATCCCAAAATCCAGGCCGGCCAAGACATGCGACTCTGGGCCTACTTAAAGTACATATATCCTATACTCCAACAGGGTGACTGAGGACCATAGCAGCCACCTGTTTGGGAAGTCTCGCGCAATCTGCCTTGACAAGTCCTGCAATCTTTCAGGAAGGAATTATGTCGAGTTTCACACTGCGAGGGAGTCTGACTGGATCTAATCGGTAGATCGCTTCAGATTTGCATTCGCTCAGAACACAGCGCAAAGATTTCCCCTTTACGTCTCAAGTGCTAAATAGCAGCTTTGCCTTCTTTGCAGTGCGCTGAATTAACCACGCCCGGCTCGATTTCATCCTCGACGAAACCCTGTCCGAAGACCTCGCCAGTCTCTCCGAGTGAATCTCCAGTGAAGTCAGCCACCGCATGCAAGCCAACTTCAACCCCTACGCCATCTCCAAGAGCACCCTTTTCTTCCTTTTCGCCGTTACAATTGCCGCCAGTCGTGCCGCACACGAATGCGGTGCTCTGAAGCTCATCCACGACCGATGACCCAGTCTCAATATCATCGCCATCGCCCAAGCTTTTGAAGCCACTGAGGCCACACGCATTGTCCGCGGCAAGACCACTAACAATACGCCCGTCGACCAACTCAAGCAGGCAATGACTAACTTGGACCCCAATTCCTGGGGCAAGTCGGCCGCAAGGGCCGGTGCCTACGCAAGGACCGGCTCGACAACTCCAGTCGACGGGAACATCACGAAGTAGCCCCGCGCCCAGACTGTGATAGACCAGGCTGTCGACAGCGTTGCTGAATCACCAAGGTTTGCCGTCGACAGCAGTGAAAACATTGAAGATAATTACGGAAACGACATGGCCATTGGCGGCGGTGCCAGACCGCGACAGCGGGCCAACTATTATTACAGGCACACACACACACCAAGGACGCCGAGGGACGACTTGCCAAGTTCTGCCGCAATCATTTACCCGATTCCAAGTTCCTTGGAGGCTCTTTTGCTAGCACTTCAAGCCCCACCAGGACAATGGGCATGGTTGCGGTGTTTTGGTTGTCGCATTTTTGGTGCATCCGGGTCTTGTCACCGGGCTGTTGGAGGAGGCATCTGACACAGAGGAGGAACGCCTGTGAAAGGCGCTGGCCGGCTGAAACCAAGCACCATAATTATGATTGACGACTTGAATTTTGCAGACTTGCATTATATAGACGTTGGGAGTTAAATGAGAGGCTGAGCCCTCGCACAGGACGCGACATCTTTCAATCAAATATTACATTTAGGCAAGCCGCTCCCTTGACGGCGTCGATGTTATGGGGTCCGCAGGCCACCGCCAATAGGGGGAATCATGAGCTTACCTCATTTAGTGGGTCCAAGCTTCGGACGCAGCCATTTTGACTGCGTCCGAAGCTTGGACGCATGCATTGCGGGTGCGTCCGAATAAGCAGAGCAGGCACCCAGGTAAGGACCCTGATGGCAGCTGCGTCCGAACAAGCCACACTGCGCCCGAGCAGCCACACTGCGTCCGAAAGGCCATGGGATGGGGATCGATGGGATATCGAAGCGTCTCTTCATCTTCCCTTTTCGAAGCAGGACAGCATTGTCACAGTCGTAGTGTCGAGGATGTGACCATAATGGACGGCCCCTGAAAGTTCTGGTGCACAATCTTCCGCATCGTCTTTTTTGCCTCGGCCTATCTCTCACGCGATACCGTCATACATGTTCGCGGTGTCAACTGGAGTATCTTGCCCCAAAACCTCCAATAGTTTCATTTGAACGAAGAAGCGCGTGCGTTCATGTTTCTCTCTGGGTCGGACCCCAGACCTGCCGCTAAGGTTCGGAAGCAGGCGTCAGTGACCCCCCGTGGGTGAGAGAAACAAAGGATAAGCATCCTCGCATCCTTAGAAGATGAAATTGAGTAGACTTTTGTCTTGCCTTGTAATCCGGTTTGATTGTCGCCTAGTATTTGGAGGCCCGTTGTCGGGTGACCAAGTATCTTCCGGTGGTATGGAGACTGGACGAGATCTCTGGTATCTCGCTTCACCGAGAGCAAGGAGGAACCCCGGAAGAACAGTCCTCTCGGTCGAGTCTGCTGGAAGAGTATGGGGAGTAACCTGGGGGCGGGGCACGTCAAGCAAACCCGTAGATGGTTGCCTGAAACCTTGCAAAACCAAAGCAAAGACCTGGAAGGGCCTGAGGGCCGTGGCGGTCATGGTGATGCGACGGTCTGTACTGCCGGTGTGTGGCAGCGGCGCCGCATGGAAGGCTGGCAAGTGGCTTCTAGAATAAGGAGTCATTTCTGTACCCAGGAAATTGCTACTATATCCACGCTCTCAGCCTCAGAAGCCTTGCTCATTTGTGACGACCCAAGCACAATCAATCCTGCCAACTGACAGACTGACACTGGACTACAGGGAATCGAGCCGCCCCAGAAGGCAAGTAGTAAAAGTGTGGCGATTAAATATGCACACAACTGATATCTTCCCTCCCATCCCCATCCACAGAATTATTAACTCCAAGCCTCGCATGCGCCATGCACCTACTACTAGCGAGGAGGACACAAGATCGAATGGAGCTGGAGGAAAGGCGTAGATCGGCGAGGGGTGGATGACACTGTATGACGAGGGAGAGAGGCCCACAACCTGGAATGTGAAGTCTGAGGTTATGGTCGGATAAAAGAGTCCACAGGCACGTCTGGCGAATAGTAAACTTTGGCAACGCAAAGACACACCGGCCCAGTCGAATCCAATCGCAAGCAGTCAAGGTGTTCAAGCTGGGAAGAGGGGTTAGGCAGGAAGCAGAATATTTGCTCTGTGTAACTGAAATTATGCAGCGCCATCCATTCAGCCAGATACTTCAATTAGAGACGACTGGACATGATGGCCGGTCGCCTCTGCGAATTCCAAAATAAACCCTTACAATACAGAGGTGTCTCAGTATCGGTGCGTGTGCAAAACGCTCGGCGGCTGGCGCCCGCGCCGGGAAAGAGATCGTTATCGCCGTCGAGAGCCCTGGAGACATTGTTGGGGATGGCGTCTACGATGCTACAAGTGCTTTAGACGCCACCAGAATCTGGCACCATTGCGAGAGATCCGAGAATGTCAGAATAGGTGGTACAAGGCGAGGCCAGCGGTGGAGATGGAGTAAGGTACCAATGTCGAAGTGTCTTCACTTGTAGCAGGGCGTCCATGACTAGGAAGGCGACAGCAGTCTCATTGCAGATGACATCGGCAGGTTAGAACCAAGAAGGATAAACATGACGAAACGATGCATATTGATATTGCCACCCACAGCCACACAGAGCAGTGGGCGGGCGTGGCAAAGGAGCTATCATGGACGGCTGGCAGCTTTCCTTGATCGCTTTGGCGACATCTTGGGATAAGTAGAGGAGAAGAGTGTTAGCCATGGCGCGCCATTCGGAGAGAAAGGTGAGGGAGAGGAATCACACTCTGCCGGTGCCATCACCCGTAGTTCTCGCCGCAAGTGGTATGGCCTTCGTGACGCTTCGAAGCAGTGTGGATGCCAAAAGTTGATACGGCTGTGTCGCGTTGAAGGGCCAGCATCGTCAGAAGCATCGTCAGAAGCATCGTCAGAAGCATCGTCAGAAGCATCGGCGGCACCATCGGCGTTTAACTCATTAGATAATGGGCAAGGGAATCACAGATCTGGATGCCGTAAGAATGTCACCATTTTGTCGCGAAATACATAAAGAGAGCGCTTGTGTTGTTGGTGAGAACAGCTGTGACGCCAGAAACATTAGCGGTCTACAGCATCCATTGACTTCAAGTGGAGAGGTGTAGCGCTCGGTCCGTCTTCCCACACCCTTATCATTCCCTGGTTGATTCCATGATGCTGTTGTTTGGGGGGGCTTTGCGCGACACTGTTTGATTGGAGACAGATAATACGACTTCATGCTTGCGGCAGAAGAATTCCTCATCACTACAGACATGGAAGATGAACTGATAACATAGGTTATTTTGTTATCATCAACGATCTCGCTGGAGACAATGTCACCTCAGTCCCAGATGTTGACGAGAACCATCTGGTCTTCCTATGAGGGGCGCGCTAACGCGTCAATCGGCCTACTTCAGCCTCGAAGGAATTTCATTTAGGTAAACAACGGAGACTGATGAGGTCAGAGCATACTCAAAAGTCAGCGTTGACGAAAGTGTCAAAACCGGCCTAGGTCACCTTGGTCCTCGTGCCGGTGAAGCTGATGCTCGAAAGGATCCCGTACCCATCACAAACCAGCAGTTGCGCCAGCTTCTTCAACTTGAGCTGCGCCATCGCCTTCAAGTCTGGCCACACGCGGATTGAATCCTCAGGCTTGATGCTGGTGCGTCCCTGCTGGAATCAACGAGTGACTGCCAGCTTGTATGTACGTAATCAGGAGGCCCCTGGTCGTCTTCATACTCAGCATTCTTGTCTAGTGCATTCTATCTCTTACACTAGTACTGCCGTCTCTATGATTCACGGCCGGCGTGCTGTTAAGTACATGAAGACCGTCGAACTTCTATTGGAAAAGCAAGAATGCCACTCTCTTATGGGGCTTGTTTCAGAGGCCTGTGAGGCGAGCTTAGTTATCACTTGGCTGCGTATTGAGGATTTAGAAGCCGGAGGAGGAGAGCGAATAACTTACTGTCTTTGCTTCCGCTTTAAGATCGATCAACTGAAACGACGTAAACACAGAACCTACGCACGATGCTGTTTCCTGTGAGCTTGTTGGGAGGAAGGGGGGGACAAAACCGTATTAATGAGCCGCTCTGCATTTCTAAATGTGATTATCTGTCTGGCATCCGTATCGATGGCTTTTTAAAAATTCGACCTGG